GGGTGGAGGAAATAGAAAATGTAACCGGGAGCAAAGCAATTTCTTCTTGAATGAGAGGTCTTGGTTTATTCTTAGTTAAAGCCTTAGCATCATCTGCAAACATTTTGGAAACAAAGATAATAATTAAAATTGTGTCTACTCTTCTACATTTTATAAAAACTGCTTTTAAGACCTGGTTTCCCAATTGAAGAGGGTCAAAAGTTTGTGATCCTACACACATCATGCTCTCCATGTTTTTACTGTAATATAAAAGGGACTAGTAAGCTCTGACACACCATAGTAAGAATAGCAAGATATGAGTAGCCACTGTGCAGATGGCACTGATCTGAGCTTTAAATCCAAGCAGCATGCTTCCTAGGCTCCAATTTTTAATCCTAAGGAACTCTTTTATCAAATTTTTCTTTGTCCTTTTTAAAGACAGGATCAAACTCTGTATATTTTCCAGGATCAAGTAAAGAAATAAGTAACTTGTTCCCAAACATTTTCATCACCCCAAAAGAAAACCTCGTATCCATTAAGCAGTTGCTCCTCTGTACTCTCTCCCCCAGCCCCTGGCAATTACCAGTTTGTACTCTGTCTTTATAGATTTACCTACTGTGAATATTTAATCATAAGATATGTGACCTTTTATGTCTGGCTTCTTTCATTTGTCATGTTTTTAGTTTCATCCATATTGTGTATATATATTGGTAGTTCATTCCTTTTTAAGGCTGAATAATATTCTATTATATAAACATGTTTATTTTTACTTTCAAGGTGTAAATGGGTCAATAAATAGAAACAGCACATCATCTGTAATTGGTATCAACACATCTGTACTCTCCACTACTGCTTCAAGTTCCATGGGACAAATTAAAAGTACAAGCTCGGGTGGAGGAAATAGAAAATGTAACCAGGAACAAAGCAAAAACCAGCCTTTGGATGCTAGAGCTGACAAAATCAAAGATAAGGTAAGTTATTCTTTGAAGAACCAATGTATAACAAATCTATATATAAGATAAGCATTCCAAAGTTCAAATCACCAGAATCTATGGATTAATTTTTTATGAATTAACAACTCTTATTTTTGCAGGTATGTATTTTATGGTGTGGTACTAATATCTTAAAAAATTAAAACTGTTAGCACCAGTATAATTAATACAAATAGTAATAATAGATAAAATTTGTTGAGAACTTACCTTATCAGCTCTATTCTAATTGCTTTGCATTCAATATCTATTTCAATCCTCCCTATACCCAAAATGAGGTAGCTACTATTATTACAAATGGGGAAACAAAGCACCAAAATAATTAGCCAGTAAGTGGCTGGGCCAGGATTTGAAGCCAAACAAGTTAATTCCAGAATCTGTGCTTTTGAAAAAAAATAACAAGGCTTTTATTATGGAACATTTCAAATATATTAATACAAAGTAGACAGAATAATCCTTTGTACCCACTATTCAGCTTCAACAGTTATCACATCATGGCCAATTTTATTTCACCTATATCTCCAACTCTGCAAGTTATCAGTTTATTGCCTCTCAGCTCTAAATTCACTTTTTTCTCCTTTGCCAGTTGGTACAGTGTTAGGTCTTGTCAATACAGAGTCCTGTAAGACAATGGGACTTCTGTTCCTGGTTCTAGTGTTTTCTTCCTTCTCTTATGCTGTGGCTGCCAGAGGGTGGCTTCCTTACCAGCTGACGGTCTCTCTGCTTGTGGTCCAGGAGACCCATTAGTGGTCAGGAGACCCAGTGGTGCACACCATCCTAGTGAGTTTCATTGGCATCCCAATGCCAGGCAGCTCATTAGCAGGTTTTGCTGGGAAACCAATGGGTAGCTTTCTAGCTCATTTTATTGGTACCCCTGGTGGCAGGTTCCCAGCCACATTTTTCTGGCACCCCAGCAGGCAGTGTTTCCTGTGTGCCAACCTTGACCTGTGATACTTCATTGAGCTTCTCTGCCATCCAGTGGGCAATAGCCATATCCTCTCCAATTAAGTCTGAAGCTCAGCCTTGGCTAAATGGGGGATTGGAGAAAAGCAGCTCTCTTCCAAGGTTGTCTTTATTTCATTATTCTACCTTAGTCCTACAGAAAGTGGCTATTCCTTATATCTGCTATTCTTATACTCTTTAGAGGTCTCTTTATCCCTCTTGGTAGTTAATCTGTGATTACTAGTTAATAACTCCTTATGTAAATTTTTCCTGTTCAGATTGCTAATGTGGTTTCTGCTTCCTGACTAGATCTTGTCTATTCTAGAATTGGTACCGGGAGTAGAGTGGGTGTGTAGGTCACACATGGTAAATTCACTTCAATATTCTGAGCATTCTAAGCTTTTAGATTCCCTCTTCCACATCATGCCAGGGAAGCTCCGACATCTCAACCTTATAAAATATAGGTCACCATTAAGGTCAGGATTCATTTATCCAACTAAATAAGCAGAGAAACCTCCACCTATATGAGCTAACATATTATATATTAGATCACCCGTATCGGTGAACTTGGTCTTTTTATGGTTGAATAATATTCCATTGTATAAACATGTTTATTTTTACTTTCAAGGTGTAAATGGGTCAATAAATAGAAACAGCACATCATCTGTAATTGGTATCAACATATCTGTACTCTCCACTACTGCTTCAAGTTCCATGGGACAAATTAAAAGTACAAGC